CCTCCGTTACTATTGACGTAGCTGTAACTGAAGCCATCGTGACCAAACCCAGATCAATGGAAGTTCATTTGTCAGCACGAAGACAGAGAGACAGAGTTCAGCAGAACAAAACGAAAGGGCTCCCGAAAGTAGAAGGCATTTCATATATGTTATAAATTATATTTCATATTAACATTTCCTTTAACTTCCATATGTTTTAAATGATGATTTAACCAATATTTTTCAGATATTTAACTTAAAGTCTTCTCATTCTTTACTGTCCAGTTAATTTAATCCTCTTATAAATAGAAGTGAAGTTCGTGTATGTTATATAAACAATCAAACAAGGAACAAATACAGTCCAGAATATTCTCCAGAGGTACTGATACTCCAAAAGTACTTCAGCATGTACCTCTAGAACCATCTGTCCAGTCATCAGAACTGTTTAGCTGAACCTAACAGCACGACAACCTAATAATAATTTATGGTAGTTGATGTCACCGTCTTCTTCTATCAGTCGTCTGACATCGTCTCTGCTGTAGTTAATTTCTCGGTGTCGTCCAATCATCGTCCTCCTCCCACCAAGATCAACGACGTCGGCTGTGTCCGTGTCTTTTTCCTGTTCCAGTGCAGATGATCAGTCGAGGCCAGAACTCCTGACTGTTGTCAACGTTCTAAACATTTGTTATAAAATATGAATCATTATTATCCTGTCTGTGAAGTGTGGAGTTTCATTATTATTTTTGTCATCGTCCTGCATGTTTCCTTGTAGTGTGTGTGGATGAGTCGGTGACCTTTGTTGACCCCTACATCAGTCCTACGTCACTGGCCCATACACAGTCCCACAGTGGCAGTACTGTACAGTCAAATCCTTGATTGGTTGTCACAGCAACCACAGCTCAGTGGCCAGTTATGTTCTGACTGATGAGAACCCTGTGAAGTTGGTGTCACACCAGAGTTTCTGTGGCTTGTGCTTGAACTTCCTACAGGAGGTAAAAATGTCTGCTCTCCTTCTGGGACCGTCCAATAACGTCTCCCTCTCCTTTTCACCTCTTTTCTTTTTTATTGCACCAATCACTTATTTTCACTGCCCCTCAACCTCTGCTCCACTTTACCTGACGGCCTTGCTGCTGTAAGTACGGTTCTCCGCTCGTCCTTTGTCTCTGTCAACAAGAGTGAATTATTGAATTAAACAGTGTGGTCGCAAACACCACTTCTGTGTACAGTATCTGTGTGTGTGAGTGTGTGTGTTTTAAACTGCTTGCTGAGGCAGAAACAAAATTGAATGACTGACCCCTGGTGTTGTGATGTGGTATGTGTTAGGAATTCTGTAGCTTGTGAACTGAGGCTAAATTGGCTAATGGTGACATCACACCACATGGTGGTGACATCACACCACACGTCACCACCATTCAGTTCTGTTGACTGTGTTACAGTGAACAGAGGCAGCCGTACCATGACAGTGCCGTGAGCCTCAGGTTGAACAGAAACTCAATGTCGGCAGTTGAAATATTGATTTTGCTGCAGATGTTTTACATGTTCCAGCTACATTTTAGTAGTTTGTTATTTTGGGATGTTGACCGTTTCATTTTGTTGTTGAGTCTCATGTCACTTTGTTAACCAATCAGAACAGAGTTTTAGATACTGGCTGTCCAGACAGAGTGTAGACATTTGTAAATGTACTGTCCAAAGACAAAAGTCACACTTCAAACATAACCACATTTAGTCCTGGAACCATCGGTGTAATCTCTACACATGGTCCTCTCAGGCTCCATGGTAGCACAGGCTGTCGGTCATTGATGTTTCGGGGATAGTTGGGTTTGTTTTATTTTCATTTTTTTAAAGCCAAACTATTGTTTAACCAAATCCCACTGTGTCTTCTCTTTTTAAAAAAACTACAGACCATCATTTGGACACAGCCACCAAGAGTAGAACCAGTGAGGACCTCCTCCGCTCCTCCAGGCTGTCCACCTACTCTCCTGAGCCTTACACCCCCTCAGAGCCCGACTACTACCCCTACACCAGCTCCCCTAAAGGTACCACAGGGTCATGAGTTCACGTGTCAGGTTGGACCACATGGTTCCTTAAATTCTCCAGGTTCTTCAAAAAAGTCCAAAAACATGCAGATTGTGGATTAGGTTAAAGTTCACTATAAACTGAACACTGGTGTGAATGAGAGTGTGAAAGCTAGTGTGAAAAGTTCTTTTTCACCTGTGACAGACTGAGGGTGCAGCAAACATTTGTACTGCTACACTCCACCCCAGCAGATGGCGACCCAGTGTGTGGCCTATGCCAAGTGCTGGCTCTGTATGTTTTACAGTGATCTTCATCATCATCTTCATCTTCCGCTCTGTCAGTGAACTCCACTCCCAAAGAGAACAGACTCATGAATATCTGTCTTCTCTTTCAGCGTACTGGGCCCCAAGGAGACGGTTCTCAACAGGAGGAGACGAGGAGACCTGGAGTCACAGTCTACAGAGGGTGAGGGTTTCTTTTTTTTCTTCTTCACGGAGAAGGAAAATCCACGTCTTCCTTCTTTCCTCTCTGAGGCTACTGTACCGTGCCTTCTCCTCTCTGTCACCTCCTTCAGATCGGGAGTGGCATTGGGAGGATGATCCTGAAGGAGGAGATGAAAGCCAGATCTGGTTCCTATGACAACGACCCCTGGGGCAGTGCGAGGAATTCTCGTTGTGGGAGCAAGGAGACGCTCACCACCACGGGCTACGGCACGGCCACGTTTAACAACACCGTCAACGGCTGTAAGCCTCCACCCTCCTGTCTGTCTGTGCACCGTCATCATGGGGTTTTAGGCTGAGGGCAGTGGGGCTGTAGAGGGTCAGAGAGGGTCGGGGCAGTAACATGTCTGTGTTTGTCTTTTCCACAGCTCCACAGTTCTGCACTGACAGTGGTGAGTTCATTTAATGTTTTAAGTTTTCATAAAACCTTTTTGTTAGGCGTGAGCTCCTCCCTCTGGCACTGACCTGTCACTGCAAGTAAGAAAAAAACCACATGCTCTTTTTTTTTTCTTGCAGACTTTGTGTGTAAGTCTGCGTCACTACCAGGATACGGACGCAACGGCATCCAGAGGGTCAGTGTGGTACTGTCCAAGAACACTTTAATAAAGTTCCTGATTCCTTTTGAAACCAAGTCACTTTTGTTCCTTATGTGTTCTTTCATGCACTGCAGCCTCAGAGTGCCGACTGCTACCAGTACCAGTATGACAGTGGCAGTGAGGTCAACTGGGGCAGCAGGGGTAAGTTAATATGAATTTTCATCATTTCCACTGATCACATTAAACCAATTAAGTCCATGTTGTTTCTCTGGTACTCATCTGAATCTGTTTCTGTCCCAACAGAATACAAGGTGAGTTTTTACTTCATTTCCTACCTTAATTATTCACTCTGCTACATCGTCACACTGTTCTGCTTTTTTTTTTTTAATAAATCTTCCTGTTCAACATGTGCCTGTGGTCAGTTATTGTGTGTTCTTCCCTATAGATCTACCCCTACGAAGCACTTATTGTTACCACTAGAGGGCGCAACCGACTGCCAAAAGATGTGGACAGAGCCAGGCTTGAGGTAAGAAGACCATCTGTGCAGAAGAACCCTACAGAACATGTGGAACAGTTCTTCTGAACCTTCATTTATGCAGTTCTTGATGTTTGTTGTCGCCTGTGTTACAGCGCCACCTATCCCCAGAGGAGTTTGTCCAGGTGTTTGGAATGACGATGGAGGACTTCGACCGACTGGCTCTGTGGAAGAGAAACGAGCTGAAGAAACACGCTCGGCTGTTTTAGTGACTATTCAGTGGACGGTTGTTAAATAATGCCACGGACAGAGCTGAAGACTTTTAAATGACTTTTAAGACTTTAAAACTTTTACTCAGTTTCACTGCCATGGCTGAGAACCTGTTCTAGAACTCCTCATGTGATGAGCCAGGAAGGACACAAAACTGTTTGCAGGCTGCTCATGCAGCCAGTTTGGAGTATGCAATAGAGACTGTAGTGTTGTAGTGGTGACTATGAAGCTGAAGGATGTGACGACTGTGTCGGTGTGAGACCACAGAGTGAAGCGGGTATCTGTGACCACAGCTGTGGTCGGTCCACTCACTGAGGAGCGTTGTGTTTTTGCCTTATTCATTATGCTCTTAGTTCTGATTGCAGCACCAGCAATCGAAATGAGTAGAATGTAGAACAAACATGTCTTTACTGACACTTTATTGTTGTGAAGGATAAAGGAGAGAACGAGGATGTGAGCCTACAGTTGAATTTGCCTTGGTTTACACTCATTATGTTTACAATAGCCCTGCTTTTGCTTTTACGTTTGTCCCGTTGAATACTGTGTACCTTTGGTTTAGACGAACACTGACCGACAGACGTGACCCAGTCTGAGGTGGTTATGTACGACTCACGTAAATTTGTGTAAGAAATGAAAACCAAAGTGAGGATTCAGACAAGCAGAGTAGCCCATAACTACATGTTTAATATAAAAGTGATGTCAGAATAGTTAGCCGTCATCAATAGATGCAGTTTCACTGTGCAGCCGTGTGGTCACCTACAAGAATGTGCAATCCTGTAGATTTTATATTATGGACAAGTGTTTTAGGCCGATCTGTTCTGATTCATCAAACTCACTGCAATAAATTAGTTTTAAAGTAAGAAGTGAAGTCTGTTCACACTAATCTAATTATTGATGGTTTTTTTATCAATACTTTATTAATATCCACTCGATTTTTTAGGGACAGAGATTGTATTGACTCAGTGAAAGGTGTTTAACACAACAACACAGATCCAGGGTTGATAAGACTTTACTAACTTTATATTATTTAACGTTTTTGCCATGAAAAAAAAACCCTTTCATTAAAGATCTCTGTTATAATACGCTGTTTTGTTTCTGTGACTTGTGCTTTGACAGATGTGTGGATTTGTGCAGGTGTGTGACGTCAGTGACTGAAACCAGTTCAGACCGGTCTGTGTCGCCAACAGTTTTGACCAGGTTTATCGTTTCATATCTCATCAAGTGTTAAACTGTGTTCCCTTTAATTTGATTACATTTTCTAACCCTGAAAATAATTCTGAACATTTTAATATCAGAAACGTAAAGAATGGAGCTTCTTAACTTGCCTCCAGGAAGTGTTCTGGTTTAGTCTCCGCGGCCACCCGATTGTACAGATTCCCCAAAGGGACTGAAAGTTTCAGGTGAGCAACATAAGTATTTTTCCCCATGTTCCTTTATGGGATCCATATAGTTGTCTCTTTTTAATCATTTTTAATGAAATGGAATGAGAAGCTAAATCCAACATCGATTAAATTTCACTTTAATGACAGACGGGGTGCGGCTAACAGTTAATGGCTCACAGCTCAGTGTTACGTCAGAGGCGAAGTTCACAGAACAAATACGTCAATTGAACAGTAGTTTAGTTAGTAGTACTAAAACCAAAAACGTCTCTCGTTTTTTATTAACAGTTTTACATTTTGCGTTGATTGGAGGTACAGGCTCACGATATGACGAGTAAATATTTATGGCAGTATTGGCACAATTTACAAAACTGTGCGCCATAAAAATGCTGTGGTTAAGGTGAGAGGGAGACAGTCGTACTTCGCGTCGACGTCGCCAGTTTTTTCGCGGGTCAGGGATAAATGGGCGCCATGATGGATAGAAAGAAACAAGTCTGAGCTCTAAATGAACAGTTGAAGTAATTCGAGATTTTTTAAATGAATGTATTCACTGATAAGCAAATGTAGTGATATTTATAATTCCGATGCCAATAAACCGGTACGTTAGACGGCGCTGACAAAAACAAATTCACAGAAATTCACAAAAAGATGTAAAAGTGAGGACTAGGATAAAACGAAAATTCTGTCCGTTTAGACTTCACCTAGGATAAAACGAAAATTCTGTCCGTTGTTGTTAAATGTTTTTAATTTTCCAGTTTTAAGACAGTGACGACATTCAAACGAAGGATTATCCTGAAGTTTTTAATTATAAGAAGCTACGTCGTTGGTAAGAATGACTGTGACATTTATTGTAAGTTGTTTTTTCGAAATTTTTATATTAAAGTTTTACATTTTCATTAAAAATCAGTTTGATCATTTTAATTGATTTTTATTAAAAAACATAAAAGCGCGCCAGTTCAGGCTACATATTATTACCGCGGTTTATTCAATTTAATTTTTGTTTTAATCTCTTTTAATGACCAGTATCAGCAGGTGGCGCCCCAGGCATCCTGTTTATGGCCTACAGTAAAAGCTGACGTTGGCCTCAGTTATCTTCATTAATACGGAGGTTAGTTGTCATCATTTTAACCAGTTAATTCTGGTTTTATTTTGTCTCCACAAACGCGAGTCGCTCCTCCAGAGATACTCGACGCTGTTGTTATTTTAAAGTTTGATTTTGAACTGCTAAAAACAGCAAAAAATAATTAAGCATTACAATTGAATTAACACAGATCTAATGTTGTCATGTATATTGACAACAGCGTATCCAACCTGGCAACAGGACTGTTTTCACTCAAGATGTGTCGTCACCTCGACGTTTGTGCAAGAAAACCAAGATGGAACACATTAATCCAGGAGCAGGTGATGGCACAGACTCAACACTAGAGGGCAGAAAGACAGAAGAAGGACTTAAACCAAAATACAAGAGGTGATGCTGTAAGGTAAGTCATGAACTGAGTTTGAATTTGATGACAGGTATAAACAGTACCTGGATTATGAGGTAAGATGTAACTTTTTTGAAACATTAACCACCAGTTAACAGGCAGACTGTACGGTTGTTCAACACGTGGTTTAAGTCTGAGGAACGCGGCGGCAGTAGCTGAGCTTCACTAAGACTGTAATACTGTATAAATGCAGGAGCATTCCTGTGGTTTGTCCAGACAAGTTGGTTGTGTGGGTGAACAGGGTTGGCACGGATTCATCCAGATCAGGACCAGGTATGTTGGTGCTGTCGACAGTCAGAAAACACTGAACCAACGTCAGTGTCACTGCACTTCACAGAATCAGGTAGAATTTTACAGACCTTCAGTTGATTAAACATGTCAGTGTAGTGAGTTATGAGTGTAGATTTTTGGGTTAACAGGTATCAGTCAAACATTAAAACCCACCTCAACTTTTTTTTAACAAATAATTTTGTATCATTTTAAAAGTTGGTTTCTGTTAATCCTGGCTTAGTATAAATGTAAACCCCAATATTTTTTGAATAAATAAAATAGGCCGTCCAAATAATATACAGATTTATTTATTCATGTTTAACTTTAAATATGTGCAATGAAAATATAAACAGAAAATTGTCTAATCGACCAATATGGACTGATAAAATGCAGAAAGGATTTTTTTTTAGGTTATAAATTTATAAAGTACATTAAAAATCCCAACAGTATCTCCATGAGCCCCCTAGGGGCTCATGGAGATACATCTCTGTGAGGCTCTTTACCTGAGTTTCTCATACAGTGTGATGGTGTTCAGTGTATAACTGGTTTTTGTGGCTTTTGTATTGTTTTGGTGGTGAACCACAGATGCAGCCACTCCTTCCTGCTGGCGGGGGGGTAGTGTTGTATGTCTGATCGTGACAGATAATAGTATATCTGTAACATCATTAAATCCTTGAGGCCGTGTTGAAAATACGGCGCTTTGTTTGAACACGCATTCTTCCTTCGAAACAATATCAATGGTTTTAATATTAACCTTAGGCAAATTGGTAGACTTAACCTTAACGCTCAGTTAATTAGTTCTTTGCTGGAAGCACCGTATTTTGCTTTTGTTTGCTAAATTAGCTTTTGGCTGTAAACATATAAACAAACTGAGAATGTGTGTGGATAAGAATCTCTAATATACCAGCCCTGTCAACTGTGACCTTATATTTTCTCCATTTATTCAGTTCTTTAATACTGATTATAAGAACAACCAATTAGACAGACAGATGGAACTGGATTAATCCCCTGGTTTTTACGCTGAGTCAGTGAATTCAGAGTTGGGGAGTGTGTCTCTACTAGACAAATAACTAGCATCACCTGATTCTGTCCATGGGACAGGGAGCATTTTCAAACACAGTGGCTCATAAACATTTTCACCTTAAGATGGCACAAACATGAACATTAGCTGTGGCTGATTGTGTTTCCGTTCAGTCAATTAATTCTCCTGGTAAATCCAACGTCTCCTCTCTGATGACAGCAGTGATAGTTTGACAGTGAGTCCGGCTCTAGGACCCAGCAGAGCAACTTGGCTCCGGTCCCTAACCCACTGATCTGTGTGATGTATGCTCTTTATCTGACAGCAGCACTTTGTTCACACACACACACTGGCTGCAACACGAAAAGTCACACACACACGTTCACTCTCTCATGGTTCTGCGCTGAGTCGGACTCTTCCGGGGCGATGGACGCCAATGGCAACACATGTAAGTTGTAACTTCTCTTATCTGGACTCCGGAGATGCAGTGGTGTCGTGTTGATTTTAGTGCTGACTGATGTGTTGCCTGGTCACAGGCATTCACACACGTGCACGTTTCCTTTAGTGTCAGTATTTGCAGAGTCAGGTTAAAACGGCGTGACCTTCTTCTTACACGCCCCATGCTTTCCTTCCTCACACCTCTGACTGTCACATTCTGGCTTCATGCTCTGTGACCCAGTGGAGGTTCTGGAGGAAGTGTCCATGCAGAGAGTTGAATATTAGAAATGACATGGATGTTGTCATCATTGTGTGGGAACGGCCACAGAACCCACTGACACCTCCGGTTCCCTTTAATTCCCCCTACTCTGCTAACTAAAAACACATTATTGGTGCAACAGCACCACCCTTACCCCCCAGGCAGAATGCTGAGGCTCTGTTGGAGTCTTGTTCTGTACTGTGACTCACACTCTATCTCTCTGGGTTTGTTCATGGTAAACATTTGGACTGAAGTTTGGCTTTAATGCACCATCTGACCCCTGGGGTCAGGGCTCCCTCCAGGAACTGCTGCAGTTTAATGTTGTCAGAGTTGAAAATAGAAAAAAACCTGTTTTTACTTAATGTTTTTGTTCATTTTTTGGGAGTGGTGCACCCCCCCTCAACCCTCCCTGAAGCTTTTCCACATTGTGAGAAGCAAACAGACTCACTTACACATAGGACCTGGCCACAGAGGTGGCAGTGGAGGTGTGCCCCCCCTCCCCTCCCCCAGGAAGTATTTCAATTGTGAAATGTTGTTGTGTTGACTCACATTGTTTGATGTTTTACACCTTTGCTTGTGTTGCTGCCTATAGAGCTGGAAAGACAGCATAGCTCCATAAAGACTCAGTGTTAGTCAGTGCCAGGCAGGTGAACATGTGATAGTCATTACAGGTTTATGGACCGTTTGACTCAACGCAGCAGAGGCTGCAGGAACTGGGACAAAAACACTAATTTTGATTAAAGTTCCAGCAACTAAACAGTCTCATCAACCAGCAAAACTAGTTTCTTCACACTTTTCACACACTTAAAGTAAATTCAATTTCAGATGTTAAACATGGTATAAAAAACAATTAAAAGCTTTGTAATAATTATTTTTATTAAAAAATATTGGTTTTAAATTTTAATAAATTTAATACATTATTTTGACTTCTGAATCAATAAACACCAAGTATGTTAAAAAAAACGGATGTTAGCTCTGGTGTCTGAATCAGGACTGTTGTAGCTAATGTTAGCTCTGGTGTTTTACATAGTAAAACACCACCCCACCCCCCCACTGTTAAAGGTTGTCTGTATTTAAATTTAATGTTTATCCTGGAGAGGTTGGATTGATGGGAGAAATGGAGTTTTCACTCTCTGTGTCCAGAACAGCTGGAGCTGCAGAGCAACAAAGGTTTTGTTTCCACCACGCTCACCTCAGTGAGAAGC